ACTTTATTCACTTTTAGACATAGATCTGATAGATATAATCGAAGTGATATAGACAAACGTGGTGATAGGAGACGAGGACGAGAATCTCCAGAAGCTGATCATAGTAGAATTGATCATAATAGAACAAAAGATAAAAGAGTAGAAGAACGGAGTCTAGTTCCTATACCACGAATGACAAAGTACGAACGTAGGCAATTATTTGCATTGCAAGTTGCAAAAGAAGAAGAAGAAAGGCAACGTCGTCAACAACAAGAATCGTGGCAAGAACATGAGAATAGATGTTTAGCATTGGGTATAGATCCCCATACTACTGCCATGGTTGACCCACAAACTGGTTATCCTGTTTTTTATAATCCAACTCTAGGTCAATGGCAACATTATTCCACTCAAGGTCATATTTGTTAATGTATTTTGTGTGCAAAAATATTAATAATTTTTATAGTCAAGTATCTATATAATTTAAATATCTAATACAGGAAGTGTAATATTCTTTTTATAGATGGTGGAGAAGTGACACAACAATGTACTCCTGTATATGTAGGAAATGCTCCATCTACTGGTATAATAGGTCAAAGTCCTCATGTATTATCATCATCAATGACAAACGATATGCCATCCGGAATTTCGACTGGTATTCCACCTGGTGTACCACCACCAGTAGCTTACTCATTAAGTCAAACGCCTGTGTTCAGTCAAACATCTTCCTACTCTTTGATATCGCATCCGCAACCATATACTGAAGGGCAACTACCTCTTTCAAACAGTTTAGTGTCTGTTCTTTATGGCATTTCTTCTACATCAATTAAAACGCTTCTTCATAACCATATCAAAAATCCCGCAGGTCAACAATTCCCTAATCTTACGTCCACGGAAAATGTCACGAGTCGACCACAACCTGAAGTTCCGGCAATAGATTTGCCACCGAAATGGAAGAGTGCGACGGATAACAGAGGTAGAACATACTATTATCACGTGAAGGAAAGAATATCGCAATGGTTACCTCCACCACCCGATCATATTGGAGTACAACCAGATTCGTCGTCTACCTCGGAATCTAGTGATGAATCCAGTTCATCAAATGAGGATGATGAAGATATTGATGATGATCATACTGAAGATCAAAGAAACGATGATATGGAGGCAAGTAGCGTTCTAACAGACAGTCCTTTGAGCACATCTAGACCAAATGTATCTAAAAAATTAAGTGGCCATAATTTGACTGGAAGTTCACTGCCGTTTCCCGAATCTAAGAAGAGAAGAGATGGATTGGTCCAAGAAAGAATTATTAGTGTAAGTATAATTTAATTCTTGTATTTATCTTTAGTTCTTATATTAGGTGTAGTAAAAATAATGGATTTCTTTTTACTATACCTAATATTTATATCAACATTAATCCTTAATACATATAATGATTTTCCGATTCATTATACGTGATGAGTTTTGGATTAATTTTCATCACTTTTACAAGTATACAGAAATTATTAAGTGATTTTTATACATAATTTGATATCTTAGAAAGTATTTATAAAGTATTTACGTATTAATAAAATTGTAAAAGAATTATGTATAAATGTTATAACTAATTGCAATTTACAAAATGAAAAATGCGCTTTGTTATAAATTCAAAACTGTAAAACATTAAGTGATTAAAGAAAAATATGTTATATACCTTAAAGTTAACATTTCAAATTATAAAAGAGAAAAAAAGTTAAGGTTGTCGACTGTTCAAAAAGTTAGATTATTCCGTAATCTGAAAATGACGTTTTTTTTTAACATATATGAATGGGTATAAATTGAATTATATTTTGTGAATATATATTACATTTTTAGTACATATTATATTTTAAACGAAACATTTTATCATTAATATTGCCTTACAAAAATTTAAGCCTAATACACAATATGCTCTTTGTTTTTTGTTTTTTGCTTTTTACCACTTCTTGCCTTTTTGCCTCTTATTCAGTTTTTTCATTTTTTGTCGCTCGAGATAAAAGTCTTCGAAAGAGACATGTGAAAAGATACGCGATAAAGCAGTTAAAAAGAAGGAAAAGGTATGAGATAAACTTCGAGATAGGAAAAATAAAGATAATCTACACATTGTTAGGCTTTACAACTAATTAGAAGAAACATTTTTTAATATTATTTATAGCATTCAATACAAATATAGTAATGATAGTTCGATATTTTAACATAAAATTATTGAAATTTTAATTTTTAAATAATTAAATCCTTACAATCTAAATGGGAATTAATTAAACATAAAGAAATAAACATTTCTCAAATACTACAGAAAAAGTACTCTATACACAATTGGGTCATTTGTGGCCCAAGTTGAACTTCCGAGGTGTTTGTCGAAGGATACGCACGAAAGGAAATTGATAACGCACCTTGTCACACAAAACTTGTTTCTTAGACATCAGCCTTTTTTTTTAGAAAAAGAATAACGAATATTGTTTAGCCAAGTGCTTTTAATATTTAAAAGAAATACGCAGGACACGAATGACTCAGTGCACATTAAGGACATTATTTAAAATGTACTCTTTACAATTTTTATAAAATATTCAATTTAAAAAAAAAGAACTTGTTCCATTATTTACAATATTAAAGGAAGATATAATTCCATTTTTTCGCAACCGTTCAGGGATTGTTTTATTTCTATATTTTCTATTTGTATTTTTCTTCATGGCAACTGAAAGCTATTATAATAATGATGCTACATTCAAAGAAAAATTAGTACATTGAAATAAAAAAAAATCCTTATGTATATTGTTAACGGAATATTTATTAATTTTATTTCAATGTGAAAAATATTGTACCCTCCTTTATCAACTAATATAACTTTAAAACTGTTATATTGTCAATTTAATAAATCCATTTGTATTTATTTGTAGCCACGTAGGGAAGATGATCGTCTTGATCATAAGACGTATAAGGAAATGAAAGATAAATTACGACGACAGAAAGAAAGGACAAAACTAAAAGATCATGTTGAGAAATTAAGAAAACATAGACGAAGTAATAAATCGAAGTCTTACTCGCGACATGGAATGAACAAATTGCAATCAACATCAGCTGAGATGTCTCCTATGTCAGAAAGGAAAATTAAAGATACATTTAGAATAAACATGGCTAATGTGATGGTTCACTTCTTAAATCCATATAGAAAAAATGATTGCAAACAAGGTAGAATAACTAATACTGAAGATTTCAAGCATCTAGCTAGAAAGGTATGTTGAGTATTTAAGCATGACAGATTTATCATACAAAAGTGATCTTTATAATTACACATTTTATTACAGTTAACACATTTTGTACTTGCAAAAGAATTAAAACATTGTAAAAGCGTGGACGAATTACAATGTAATGAAAATGTTAAACATAAAGCAAGAGATTTTGTACGTAAGTACATGAGCAAGTTCGGGGCAGTGTATCAGAAAGGTACAGACGAGGATTAGCTGTAATTTATAAAATGAAAAATTGTTATTTATTACGAGCACTTCGACTACTGCGAAATATATTTAGATAAATATATTTAGGCTCGTATGTAGATATACCTTTGTAATTGTATTATTGTAAAATAGACAAGTTTGTATATGCGTGATAAACGTTTTTTCATGATTTAGCAGTTAATAAATTTTAGCAAATTTTTAATTTCCCATATTTTATGTGTAAATTTGACGTATGTTCATTTATACATGCTAACTATGCATGTATATCTTTTATAAATATTGTAACTTATATGCCAATATACACACACAGTGTAAACTATATACTCTGATAGTTGTGTAAGATTTGAACCTACCTTTCGGTATCAGTGTCTTAAAATTAATACTCGAATAAAAATATTTATTTATATACGTTATGCAACTTCTGTAAATAATTATAAATGACTACTTAAGATTATAAATGAATTTTTAACTGCTTCATTGGGTTGCTGTTGTGCTTGCTGACTCATGACTGTCTGATATTTATAAAAACTGAAAGAACAAAAGATAAAAATATAAATTTTGCATTTATAAATTTAATTTTGTACTACCGACATTTTGTCTTTATACGTTACAAAAATGTGATGTGTGATTTTCGAAACGGAAGCAATGTAGAATGTTTAATAAAAAAGAACTCTACATTTACTGATAACAATTGTTTTTGTGAGAATAGCGCTCTGTATTTTTTCAATAGTTCTGTCTATATATATAAATTGTATATAATTAATGTTAACATCAATTGATGTTGACATAATTAATTGATGTTAACATAATTCCATGTAATCATCTAAAAGCAATTTTATTGTTTCCAATTTACATATATAAATAATGAATGTATTCTTTAAGTAAAGAATCATAATTTTTGACTGTGAAACAATTATATTGCATACGTTTGCACCCAGTTATTAAAGCAATAAATAAAAATATTCATTTTATTTTTAGTTTCTTATTATAGCGTATTATATAATGTATTATTTAAATTATAAAATTTCTACATAATTTACAACTATAATTTTATAACATCGATATTACAACTTCGGCATAAATCGAACCGTGTAAACGTAGTCATATTTCCATCAACGTAGATTAACTTTAATCTCGGTTCAATTTACTCTTTGTCTTTTTCTGATCTTTAGAATTAGAAAAAGACGAAAAATAAATTTACACGGCTCGATTTATGAAGAAGTTACAACATCGATGTTATAAAATTACCCAATCACATTCATTCTATTCTTTAGAGGAATAGCTATGATTGGCCAGTTTCATAACACCAAATATGATATAATTTTGACGTAAATTGAGTCTATATAAATGTAATAAATAGTATGGTTTTTTTCCTAATTATTTCCGAAGGTAATCTTAATTAATTTAAACATTTACAAGAGAATTAAGAGGATATTTCAATTAAATTTTTTTCTCTTAAAAATCAAAATAGTATCTTGATTTAAAAAAAAATTAAATGTAAATATATTGTAATATAAAAATTTGCAATGACTTGTATTAACATTTTGAAAATAGTGGTAGAAAGAATTTTTCAAATATGGCTTATTCTTATTTTAACTTGACATAATTAGCCAATTTCTTTGTGCGATTACTTAAATCCGTTGGATAGGTCTTCATTGCTATCTCGTATTCCTCTCACCAGTCACCAGTCTCACTTTATTATCTCACAGAAGACCGTGCCTCACGATTGGTCAATAACCAATATACTTCAAAAAAGGAGCAATTTTATTATATTTGTGTCAATAATATATCTAATGTTAAATGTGTTGAAAAGGTACATTATGTAAAAATATGTCTTAATAACAGTGTGATAATTATTTATTTATCGTGTGACGTATTGTTAGACAATAGTGCCAACTTCTAACCTAAAGCAATCTAAAGGAGCATGCTCCAAACAAGTAATTTAAACGCAAGATTAAAATATAATAAAATTACATCTTTATTTAATGCATCTTTGATTAATGTGCAACATGATTATATTATGTTATTTAATTTAATTTATGTGTTAAGTTGTATGTAATAAAATTTGAACATTGCGATGTGTAATTTATACCATATATAAATATGTGCATAATGAATATACTTTAATCTTTAATTTTATAAATTATTCAAATTATATTGTATTTCACACCTGTATAATATTTAAATTATTAAATATTAATGTTTCATATAAATAATATGAATATAAATAATATGGTTTCTGCAACGATATCTATATTAGAGGAGCATTTTGTAAAATTTTTTATATTCTGATTTTTATATATATATATATATATATATATATATATATAATATTTATTTGTATTATATATAAATATATATCTATAAAAATTAATGCATCAGTAATTTAACAAATTTTAGGGGTCTTTATATAAAACATATTGCATTTTATATAATGGATGTGTTAGAACCAGAATTAATTTGGGTTAATGGACGCTGCTATAGATTTTACGAAAATACTGCCTGGAAAAACATTCATACATCAGCTCCATATATGGAGGATAAAGAATCAATTTGTTCAAATGAGGAATCTGAAACTGATATAGAAATAATTCCTCATGATACATTGTTTAAGCATACTTTTTGTGTACCCAAGTAAGAATCATTTTAAATATTATTTTATCATAATTATAATATTAGTCAAAATTTAATAATATATAAGGATTGTTTAACATGGTCATAATTATATTTTACCATTTTATTATGTTTTAGAATTTTTTACTCACACATAATTGGTACAAAAGGTTTAACACGCAAGAAATTAGAACATGACACAAGAACAACTATTGATATACCAAAAAAAGGAAAAGATGGAAACATTGGTAAAAATGACATTCCTTTAATTCTGTAAAGCATATGATGTGCTTGAAGTATAATTTTATTCTTGTTTATTCAATGAACAACAAGTATAAAATGATTATGTATCATATACTTTACAAAATGCAGTTAATATAAGAAAAATATGAATTTAGTTAATTACATATTTATTTGTAGTTATTACTGCACGGGAACGTAAAGCTATAATATCTGCAAGACATAGAATTGATTTACTAATAGAAGCCTCAAAGAAAAAGATACATTATACACACTTTTTGTCAATCCCATTAAATAAAAAAGAGATAATTGATAAATATATTTCTTTCAAGAATGATATATTGGAGAAGTATAACAAAACTACACACAATATTGATGAATCACTTTTTCAAAATCCATCTAAGTTACACCTTACTATTGGCATGCTTAAATTATTTGATGATAATGAGAAAAAGTATGCTATTGATGCTCTCACAAATTGTAAAGAAAATATTATAGAGTAAGATATCTAACTTTATATAATAATAGCATATTATGTATAATTAATCTTGCAAAATTAAATTATATGATATTAATTGAATTAACATTATATAATCTAATTACATATTACAGTATCATAAATATGATAGATTGTAATTATTTCAAAAGATGTTTAAATAATTATATATTCTACTCTACAGTCCTGTTCTTGAAGAAACGGGGTCAATAAATATACAGTTACAAGGAGTTGCATGTATGAATGATGATCCTACTAATGTTAAAGTTTTATTTGCACAAATTGCATCTAACGAAAAATTGCAAGAACTCGTTGATAAAGTTGCTGAATACTTTATTGACATAGGTAAATAATATATTATGTATCTTATATATTGTAGAATTGAATTATATATCTTTGAGATATATTTTATGCAATTTTAATCAAAACAGTAATTATGTTAACTTCCTTGATTATATAATTTTCTAAAATATATATTTTTATTAATATTAATTGTAATATCTCATTGTATAATTTTTAATTTTAGGTTTAATGGAGAAAGAATACGAAAAAATAAAATTGCATGCCACTCTAATGAATACAACATTTAAAGATGATTATTCAGCAAGATTTAAGGAAAGATATGACGCAAATGAAATATTAAAAGTAATAGAATTTATAAATGGGATTTATAATTCGATCTATAATTCGTTATAAAATTGGTAATAAGAAAAAATAATTACTTATTTCATATTTTAGGTATATAAGAATACACTGTTTGGAAAAACAATATTAAATCAGATTGACATATCTGAACTTCATACTACTACCAAAGACAATTATTATAAATCAATAGGTAGCATTACTTTTTAAATACAGGGATATGTGCTATATAATTGTAGCAATGATCTCTTTTTATTTAAAAAAAAAAGTAAGTTAGAGAAAAATCTATTATGCACGCGCGCACGCACACACACACACACACACGCGCGCGCGCGCGCGCGCACGCACGCACAGAAAGAGAGAGAGAGAGAGAGAGAGGGAGAGGGAGAGGGAGAGAGAAGTATATGTACATATAAATATAGTAATATTTTCAATAGTACTCTTTATTTTGTTTTTGTTTTGTTCAATGTTTTACGTATTATAATGTGTATCTTAAGTATTTTTAAAAAATATAATTTAAATAGACCCAAAAAATTAGAGAATATATTAATCTCTATTTTATGTAATTTTATTTTACATTAATGAACATTTTATCATTTAATGATTTGAGTGTTCATAAATATCTGTAAGAATATTTTACAAGTTCAGCTTGAGATTTAAAATTATTACAAATCTTCTATCATTCAACTTGGTTGAGCTTCGTAAATTTAATTATTAGTAATAGAAACTATTGGTTTAAACACTACTGGTTCTTTTAAGAGATTTCAATGTAAACTAGAAAATCCTCTCGTGACAAGGAGAAAGGAAAGAGAAAGTGTAGAAGGGCAAATATTTATAAAAGATAGAATCAGGAAATGCTAAGAAAATTTTCGAGAAAAGCTATGTGTTCATAAAACAATTACGAATATTGAAATATTATTATATAATTTCTTATATTAGAGGATAAGAAGTTATAGAGCTAAATTATTGTATTCACAAGTTTATGCATATCGAATTTGCATGTAAAAAAAAATATTAAGGTTGATATATAGCGTTTTCAATAATAAAATCTAGAAAAGAACGAAGAGTAGAAGAAGAGAGGTAAATTTTATTTTAATGGAATTTTAATTTACATAATGTAATTACAAAAAGAAATATTCAATCTTAATCGGAATAATTATCTTTCCTCGATTCCTTTTTCGTGAAGGACATTGACTCTGAGTTGATTAGAAGAAATGTCCAATTAAAAGCATCGATTCGATATATTAGCTTCTACATGTATTGTAATTATCTACGCATTAAAAAAATGTCATTCGTGTATCAGTATAACAGGCGAATCAGCTACGACATTGGTCGAATCCTAATCATGTATTTTCCTTATCAGACTGTCAATAGAATTCAGTTTCTATCTGCAGGTTTTATTAACGCCTAACCTCTTTTGTTAAATAAATTTAATTAGTATTTGATAAAAAATAAATCAATCCCAGAATATCGAAATTCTCTAAATAATGAAACGGTGGCTACGGATAATTATTTTTTCTGAAAAGAGGATTGGATGATATAAAAAAGGCCTGTACCATTTTTAACTTGTAATTGCACACTTACAACTTATGAATGATGTATATACTAAGATAAGAGTATTATAATTATTGATGTTTATATATGTGAACAAAGCTTATATTTTTTATTAAATAAATTAGAAAACATAACCTCTAAAACGAACAAGTTTTTATTTATAATCTTAATAATAATTTGGAGTGTTGGAAAGTGATTTTTTTAAAATCATTTTATTTATTTTTATGCTGTATTTTATGAGTATAATAATATAGTAATAATTTTAATGCTATTCATAGAATTTATATATATATATTTCTAAATTTATATTAGGTGTTGGAATTAATTCGTAGCGTTTTTTAATGAAAGAATGTTATTTATTTCACATGAGCATTAAAAAATACATTAATGAAAGTACTTCCCATCACTTGTAAAACGCTACGAATTAATTCCAACACCTAATATAATATGTATCAATATGCTTTCAAGTGCTTTTATATCATTTTTTTAATACTATCAAATTTATGATTTTAATCAGAAACAGAAAAATATTTATCTCATTTGTTAATATTTCAAGTAACATTAATGATAATATTGTCAATTTTGTTTAATAGGCATAGCAGAAATGGATGTTGTAAGAAGATTGATAATTTTATGCATGTTGACAGCTGTTTTGCCATTCCTACTTATAATAATTCCTTTGTGTCTACGACATATTTTTTATGCTGATGTTGCATATGCTGTAACAGAATCCGATATTATAGAAATCAATGATGGGATTTCAACAATATTTTGTTCGGTAAGAAAAGAAAAGTAAATACCTAATATTTAACGTTTTCATTTCTTTAAAATTGTGCATATATATCATTACTTAAATATTAATATAGATGAAATTAATCTCAAATTTTATTAAATATCTATATATTATATATTGGGTCATCTAAAAAGTATCCGCGGTTTTTTGTTACTAGATGTGTGTTGATGGTCATATATCTAGTGACAAAGTGTGACGCGGATACTTTTTAGATGACCCAGTATAATAAGAAAGTATGAATCAATATTTACAATTGTTATTAAAGAAGATGTATATCCTTTTGATCTAGCATTTAATCTTTTCTTAATCTGGTCAATTGGTCTTAATTTTGTTGTCATATTTTATAAACAAAATGTAAATTAATTTAAAGAATGCCTTGTTTTAATAGGAACATACTTTAAAAATGAATGGCACTTTTAATGCTTTCCAAATGACTCATCGACCAGAAATAGCATCAAAACGAAAACACATAAGACTTAAAAAGAGCATGAATTTACCAGATGATACATTGGAATACTGGGGATTTTATTTATTAAAAAGTGCAACTGTAACGCTTTCTGTGTGTTCAAGGTAAAGAAAATTGAACGAAATATTTTTTTTATTATGATTAGAGACATCTATTAATATAATCTATTAATACAAATCTTTGAATGTATTTATATATGGGATACCATATATATAAAAGAAATAAAAATATTTTCAGATTCGAAGGAGCTTCTATATTGGTAGTGAAAGGAGAGAAAAATCTACGTAGTTGTGGCCTGCTGGAACACAATATTAATAAGCAATCGCAAGAAATTTTCTTTCCAGATGCGAACAAACAAGTTAAAATAATATATGAATCAAATGCACAAGAAATTGATTCTAAAGAAACAACTACAATTGAACTTACTAAATCTACACACAATATCAATGATAAATCAGTTGTAAATACAAGTTCTAAAAATGAAAGAATTTCCGAAACAAATCTAGAAAATCTAGGCACACGGGCATATATTACAAATGAAAAATTGATGAAGAGTTTAGAACATTTAGAGACATTGTATCATACTACAACGTCTTATTTTGATAAATATGTAGGTGATCAGCAAGAAAATATGAATAATAACACGAAAGGAAGACGTATTAAACGTCGTATGTTGAATATAAATAAAAATAAAAGAATAAAGCAAAGAAGAAAAGAAGTTTATAATTACAATAAAAAAATGCGAATACAAAAATTACAAGAAATATTGAATTCAGATATAATTAATGACAGAAAGGAACAAGAAATAAAAGAGAGAGATGAAATAGATACCAAAAGATTTAAAAGAAATAGAGAACTCATAAAGCCATTATCCTTATTAGATCAAGGTATTAAGCATGGTGGAAATGCTAACAAAAACTATACATCTGATTCCAACGAAGAGTCGTCTATTTCCAGTTTTGAAACTGATTTATTAAATTGTTACAATGGTGAAATATTGTTAGCTCATGAATTCCAACCTTCAGATCAATGTACTAACATTTCCTATTTGCTTAATAGTAAACACATACAGGCAAATCACCATGTAGAACAGGATGGTTATTATTATTATATTTTTTATAGTGATAACGACATTGTGTCCAATGATATTTATGCGATTTTTGATATATATAAACCGACTTTTCAATATGAAAATGTGACTAAGTCATGTATTAATCAAACTGAATGCTCATTTCGTGTAAACCCGCTGTCAGCGGATAGGGTAATTGTTGAAATACCAACTAAGGACGGTATAGAGCATAATGAAATAGATGACGCTGGCATATTAATTTCTATTTGTCAGCCACGAATGGGCGCGTACATGATTTTTCCAATTGCGATATTGCTTTTAATTCTTGGTTGTGCTTTTATATAATTAAACCGATTATCTAGAAATACCTGCAGACATAAATACATACAACTTTGTGAAATTGTTGTCTCACAAATCATAATACAAACTTTAAATACAAATTCACATGAAGCTATGAATTGATCAAAAATTCAATATAAATTACAGACAAAGGAAAGGAATTCAATATAAATTACAGATAAGGAAATTATGCATTTCAATAGAAGTAACAAATAATTTACTTAAAATATAAGATGTGCACTGATTAAAAAATATAATTTTATTACTCATTTTCTTAGTATATTTTTCCTATAATAGATTATTTTAATTTATGCATGTATAGATACAAAAATTCTATATAATGTACGTATAAGTTTTGTAAATGTACGCATATACGAATATTTCAAGATTAACAAGAATCCTTTTTTTTCCTACAAATTATTGATCCATTTACAGAATCGATTTTGTTTTAATAAAAATGTCAATTATATTTATAGTTTCTGAATAATACTTTTAAGGCTTCCATGAGTACTTTCTATATAGAAGCTATGATGTGTTTCGTTAATTTTTTCGAATAGTAAAAAATTCTATGAAAACAAACCTAGTAATGAAATTATATTTTTCGATTACTAAATTATATTTTTCGATGACTATTCAAGCTTATATGTTATATGTTTTTTGTTTTAATTTTTTTATGTACAGTTTTAGTTTGTGAAGTTCAATTAAATGTTTTAAATATTTTCTTTATAAAAAAAAATTGTTTCCAAATTAGGCACATTGAAACTCTAATGGTCTAATATTTAAATAAGTATTTCATAGTTTTAGAACATAATACTCTGAAATTAAAATGTGTATTTGAAACCTAAATTAATTAAGGGCAGCTGAATGAAGATCGTAATATCTAAGTTTGTATGTATTGTACAAGATAAACGTTTGTATCGTTATAGAAACTTTTACATGTATTAATTCCAAAATAATAAAGTCATTTTTTAATGACTAATTATGATTACAATATAATCTTACATTAACACATTATTTAATTATAATTTTATGTGTTGTTTCAATCATTCATATTTCCCACGATAAGATCCCACCACGACGATTTCGGGGCGCTATAAAGCGCCAGAATAGCAATGTCATTTCCGTCATGCGCGATAACTATCGGCAAGTGGAATAACTTTAAAATCATTTACATTTGCGAGAAAAACTCTGATTTGATTGTCACGATTCATTACCGTGATCATCAACCGAGTCAACCGACGTGTTAATTTCGGCGTCGATACGAAGCTAAACGTTTACCGAAAAATCATCGCACCGGTGCTTTCCGTACACCGTGCGCAGCGCCATAGCGTGGTAGTCTCTAGAATACTCCTCGTGACGCCACTCAAGTTCTTCCTTTCTGTCGAACTCTCGCGAGTTGAACATGTCGCATACTGCAGAACGAAGGTAAGTTGAACGATTTTTCAGCGTAACGGCGTACCGCGCTCGCGTTCTGGCGGCGCGCCGTGATCACCGTGATGCCGACGCCGTTGTGGATCGCGCGCGTCGCGAAATTCGCGCGTATATGGGTTAAAATACGTCCATGAAGAACAGTGTACCGCAATCGGACGGATGCACGGGGGACACGAGACTGACAACATGGCGTGCATTCGTTTTTGTCACATTGTCCTCGCCGCGACTAACAGCCACGATCCGCGCCGTCCATGTCGATCCGCCGCTTAACCTCCTCGTCGCGATACCGCGGCGGAGGACCGCATGGCATGATAGGAGCGAGCACGACGACTCGACGGCATGCATGCGCCCCGACGCCGTTAGCGTGGGTGAAGCAAGCGCTCTCTTTCTCGTCCGCTCCGTGTGTGCGAGCTCGACAAGCGATCACGTTTTCTCCGATCCGGCCGCGTACAATTACGTAATGGAAATATCGCTTTTTCGCGCGGTTTCTGTGTCGGGGGACACAACATACAAAAAAAAAAAAAATCAATCGCGCTGACCCGAGACTTCTCTCTTGCGCATTGCTGGACGCATAGTCATCGTCACACGCTCCCTTGGCCTCGGCGTCAGCCGACATGTCTCGCGTCTGGAGCACGCTTCCGCGTGAGTCACTGTCAGAGCGATTATAGCGCGACGAGCGATCCTCGTGCACGATCCTCGTGCCGCCTCCACGCGGGCTCGATTCCGTCGATTTTTTTGTACCGTGCAAAACGCACGGTAAAAATGGCCATTGAATCATACAGTTCTCGACAAACGATGTACGTATTTCACAGGATCGAATTAAAAGTTCGACTTTCAAGGTCACGTGGATTTAAAGTGATTTGTCATCGCTTGATCGCCGTGACCGATATTATCGATTCTGGATGAGTTTTAAATGCTGATGCGTCTACCAGTACCTTTATTAAGATCTTTATAAATTTCTTATATAAAGTTCGATTATTTATTACGGACATAAAAAAATATAATACACGATTTTATTTATGTTTCTTTTATGAAGTATAGAAATTTTGCATTATAGAAATTTAATCCCTTTAAATTTGGACTCTCCTTTATAGAAAATGTATTCTCTATATCAGAAATTAATGTATATTGCAATAACATAAAATTAAAATCTTATATTTTGTAAATATACATTAAGTATATCTTACAATTTATTTATTTATAATGTAAAAAACTTACTAGTTATCTTATAAAAATATGTGACTCATGATTTAACATTTAATATTGTTAATCTTATATAATATGCTCTTATTACTTGTTCTAATATCTATTTAATATCATTTCAGAAATGATGATCAATGGCCAGGGGATTCAAAAAATGGTCCTAGTGAAAGTGAACAACCCACATACGATGGACCTCCTGGAATGGATCCCGATGGCGTCATCGAATCCAACTGGGACGTTGTAAGTGACTATTGCATATTCTCTGAATATGATAAGATTTTGTTTTCTTTTACTATTGGAAGATGCAACATGTTGTTTATACTTTGATTGATATTCTACATTAGTACAAATTAGTACATTATCGGTATATATTACAATTTCTGTACTTTAAATGTACAGGTATTTAAAGTAGCACATATATAATGTACGTATTTATGCACTCTTGTCAATTATTAAGAATATTAACTTAGCTGATGAACACACACACACACACACACACACTTCTCAGTATTTATAAAAATTGTCTAGGCTAATTTAATTGTCTTTATTAATTTACCTACTATACCCACGCCTATAATTACAGAAAAAATACTTTCAAGAATATTATGATTTTATGTAACATAATATAAAATTATTAGATTATTTTTAAAATAATCTCTTGATATCCAAGCATGTGGTTATTTATTTTCAAGTAAAAGAACATCTTATGTGTGTATACAGAAAATCAAAATATTAAAGATGTAATCTAGATTTTGAATAATTAATCTATTTTAAATTAAGAATATCTAGTGTTGTCCTCTGTGAATAGCTTGCAAATAATTTGAATTGATTAAGAAAAACTGTAGATAAGAGAAGCAATCATTTATTATTTCTTTTGTAAAAAACTGTTAAAAATAATTATGTTATTTTATTGTGATTTTTTTATTTCAAATTAATTATATTATTAAAACTTTTCTAATTACATATGTACATTTTTGTTTTCTTAAAAAATTTAATACTGATATTTAACTTGAAATATTTTAAAATTGATATTTAACTAAAAATATTTTAATCCTTATATATTGTAATATATTGGGTCATCTAAAAAGTATCCGCGGTACTTTGTCACTAGATATATGACCATCAACACACATCTAGTGACAAAAAACCGCGGATACTTTTTAGATGACCCAATATTAATCCTCAATCTGCAATCATATGTTTACTCTCTCCGTCACTAAAATCTGGATTTTTTTTTGTGTAGCTCAAGGTTTTTTACTAGGTTTTCAAAGAATATGGAAAAATTTAATGTTACTTTTTAATATCTCTTTTATATTATCATATAATTTAATATCAAAACCTTTATTTAATAAAAAAAATTGAAATTTTAGTAAAAATGAGGAAAGTGTAAAAAAGACTCAGATTACGGAGGAGAGTTAAAAGTATTAAATTTAATCATTTTTATTGTTCTGTGTGTGTGTGCGTGCGTGCGTGCGTGCGTGCGTGCGTGCGTGTGTGTGTGTGTATAGATGTATTTTATACATATGTAATATACTTACATATTATATGTATAATGTATAATATTGATAAATTTGGTAAATAGTACATTATGTGGGTAATAAAATAAAATATTAAAGTGATATATTTTACTGATATTATATTTAATTTAAACAGGTTGTGGAGAACTTTGACGAAATGAACTTGAAAGAAGAACTATTACGTGGTATTTACGCTTATGGTTTTGAAAAACCATCTGCAATTCAACAACGTGCCATCCTACCATGTATACGGGGGCTCGATGTTATTGCTCAGGCCCAATCTGGTAAGAAATTTTGATCTAGATCAGTTATTGATAATAATATTATCTTGTAAATATAATATGTAAAGTATTTATTGTATCAATCAATGTTTCTAACTATCAGGGACTGGAAAAACTGCTACGTTCTCCATATCGATTCTTCAACAAATCGACACTAGTATTAAAGAATGCCAGGCCTTGATCCTTGCACCAACCCGTGAATTAGCTCAGCAAGTAAGTAGAGATCATTATAAATATTTATTTTAATAAAAAGTTATATTTAATAGAAAAGATGTAGAATTCTAATAATGTTATGTATTTTTACTTAGATTCAGAAAGTCGTTATCGCTCTAGGCGATTTCATGCACGCGGAATGTCATGCATGCATTGGTGGCACCAACGTTCGTGAAGATATGCGAAAACTGGATCAGGGTGTTCACGTGGTTGTCGGTACGCCCGGTAGAGTTTACGATATGATCAGCCGACGAGCACTTCGAGCAAGTAGCATCAAACTGTTCGTGCTGGATGAAGCCGATGAAATGCTTTCTCGAGGATTTAAGGATCAAATCCACGATGTATTCAAATTATTACCTAACGAAGTGCAGGTAAATATAAAAGATATTTTTGAGGAATATAGATTTTTTATTACAATTATCTAATAGATAATTTTATTTTAATTGTTAGAAAGTATCTTTTTTGGACAAGTCCACAAATCATACAAGACGAAAAAGTTGCAGTATATCTTATAATAGTCAAGTTAACAAATATATTATAAAATACAGGTGCGTCGTAATAGTGTCTGTCATTTTTTGACAGATGTACACTGGATTGACATATGCTCTGTATCATGAAATGTGTTATCTTTTGGAAATAATAGCGGCCTAAATGCAAACAATTATTATGGCATAGCACTCCTAATAATAATCATAATGTCCTAAAAATCAATTAGTCACTCTTAATATCTTTGTAATAGCAACAACAATTTACAATTCCTATTACAGCATGATGCTATTATATTGCACATACATGTATAGTATAACATCTCAGTAAATGCAGTTTATTTCTTTCATCGACATATAATATTGATCATCACATTGTATCGAAACATGGTTTCTTGCATACAATTTCAGCCTTTATATTTCTAATGCTTTATAATTATCTTTTCCAGGTTATATTATTATCTGCGACAATGCCGTCTGACGTGTTGGATGTATCCAAATGTTTTATGCGGAATCCCATTCGTATTTTGGTTAAGAAAGAAGAGTTAACATTAGAGGGTATTAAACAATTTTTCGTTTACGTTGAACGTGAAGATTGGAAATTGGAAACGCTTTGTGATTTATACGATACATTAAGCATTACCCAAGCTGTTATTTTTTGCAATACGCGGCGTAAAGTCGATTGGCTAACAGAAAGTATGCATAAACGTGACTTTACTGTTTCCGCTATGCATGGTGATATGGAACAGAAAGAACGCGATCTTATTATGCGTCAATTTCGAACTGGATCTTCAAGAGTTTTGATTACTACTGATCTTCTGGCACGCGGTATAGATGTGCAGCAAGTGTCACTTGTTATTAATTATGATTTACCTTCCAATCGAGAAAACTATATTCATCGGTAAGTTATTATATGATACTTTGTAATCAATTTTAAAAACGAAGTATATATTTTTAATTCATTTGAACAAAGCAGAAATTTCTAATAGCAAAAAAAAGAAGAGCAAAAACTTATGTTAAAAAACAAAAATATATATAATATAAATTTTATATATAATATAAATTCTACTTTATAAGCTTTAATTTCAAACAATTTTCATAATAATGATGATCTTTTGGAATATTATATTTTGACATTTCTTTTCTTTAACTTAAAGTCATAGATATATTTTTTAGAATAATAGTATAATTTTTATGTTGAAAGAAGATAGACATACTTCATGTTTTATATCTATTAAAATTTTAGAATTTAGTGATATCATTAACATGTTCATGTATAATTTGCGTTTAGTTTTTTTTATGTATGTATATTAAAAAATTATTTATATTAAAAAATTTATGTAGATATTCATATCTTTGTTATTACTTAACTATTTACAGAATCGGTCGTGGTGGTCGTTTTGGCCGTAAAGGTGTGGCTATTAACTTTGTGACAGAAGAAGATAAACGAACCCTGAAAGATATCGAGCAATTCTATAACACTCACATCGATGAAATGCCAATGAATGTCGCTGATCTGATCTAAGTCCGACTATTGGCTATAATCCATTATACTAAAAAAATAATAAAAAGTAAGTGACAGAAGCTCTCAGCTGATCGATCTCTCATGGTGTGTGAGTATATATATTGAGTGAGTTGGTGAACTATATCGCTTATGTAAACGCGATCTAAACCAAAATATTCCAACGTTTTCATATTCGTTTCGATTTATAATAGTAGGTTACGAAAATAGTTATCTGTTGCGCTACAGGAGATAGTATATATAGTACGACTATTATTACTATTAGTGTAATTATCACTACTGTTGTCGCTTACCGATATTGTTGCCGTCGCTGCTGCTACTACTCTTATTCTTATCGTTACCGCTATTAATATTACTATAAATATTATATTACTATCATTGGTATTGATTGCTATCATTGGTATTCATCAATATTTTAATTTTAATTTTTAACAATAATATAGCGATATATTACCACGACTAAAAATATACCACAAAGTGGTAAATAGAACTAGGAAAATACGAAAAGCGCAGCTCGGCACAATTTGATTATATTTTATTTCTACTATCGTAACAAGTTTTATATTACCCAAAATGCGTCCATATTCTTATTCTGTCGCAAATCCAATGGCCATCATAAAAATCTTCAAGTCTTGCTTTCTAAGACTTTTTGTCCCACTTATTTTTCCCCACGATATTTCTAATTGGATGATTAAATCTGTTGTGTTTAATAGTTCATATTTCATGCTTCTATCACCGCGATTACAACTTGTTTGTCTAGGCAGAGGTTTAGTTGGGTATTGGAAGGGGTTCTTTAATCACAAGCGTTGCCGAAGGAGACGTATATTCAAGCTTAGATGATATGAATTTTGTATATCCTAAATCCCAGGCGCACACACCTTTATTATTAAATAAAGTGTTTGACCTTTTAAGAAAATGTGGTCTTTGTTATTACAAGTCTTTATTATCAAATTTTATCCAATTTCACAATGAAAACCCTGAATGGACAAACTGTGTTACAAGTGTGAGATTTTCAAATTTTCGAGTGCTCCCACGGGGAATGTTTTGCGGTATATATGCCGAAAAAGTTCTCACAATTTTCTTTTATTTGTATTTGCAGGCAGTTTTGGACAGTCCAGATGTGGGCGACATATTTTTGGAAATAAAGACCAGATTTCCTGATTCAAAATCGAAGTTTTGTAAATCGATTACCTCTCTAAACTCCTGCCTTTCGTGTAGGCTATAATAATATATGTACATTTTCTCTTTTTCTTTTTTATACTTTTACATTCTTATTGATAATGAAAGCTGATCAGTTCTTAGATTTTTTACATTTGTCAATAAAATTCTTTGCAAACAATCTTTATCGCATATTCATAAGTTTCCGTGCACATATCAATGCCAAATATTAAATTAAAATGTTATCTGCCTTGTGAGAACTTTTGTATCGTGTTTTTACAAAATTATTAAAAATATTGCGATATCACACATACTCTATTGTCGTCATTAATCGTAAATTTGAAAGTGTTAATAATAGTTTTCGAAAATTTGAGTGAGTAAATCATGTAGGTGCTTATATACATTTTATAACTACTGATTTGTGATTGCATTAACATTAATTCCTCTTGCTCGCGCATTTGAATGCATCTTATGTTAATGCAAAATCATCTCGAATTTCCGAAAACTAATTCTTAAAAATACTGTAAATATTATATAAATAGACCTTGAAGGAATGGACCATTGTGTGTCTATTGTATTTATACATCATATAAATAATATTTATGACTGAACGTATAAACTGAATATAATAAACGTAATGTCCTTTATTTATACTTGTATTATCAATACCATTAAGTGAACTGCTATTCTCGATAAACATGTTTTATATATATATATAAAATCATGCTTAAAATTACGACAAATTCTGTTATCATTTATCGATGCAAAATGAAATTAATATGCGTTATTTTAAGAATATTTAAAGTGCACAATTGCAGATGCATTTTGATGAAAATATTTTGTAGTATAATTTTGTGTGTGTGTGTGTGTGTGTGTGTGGCGCGCGCGCGCGCGCGCACACACACACACACACACACACACACATATACACACTGAAAATTAAACTTGTAAATTAAAAACATAACAGATGTATACGAAAACATTAATTATTTAAATCGTAAGTATTTATCATATAACAATTATTATACGTTGTAAAATATAGTAACAATTTTTTTTATGTTTTGAGAATTTTACACGCTTTGTAGATTATCTACAATGAGTTTTAAAAAGCACGTTTTTTGTATTCTTATGGACTTTTCTTTTCAATTATGTCATTATATGAATTATATGTATAAATTTTTGATTGCGACTTATTTTAATTTTACAAAGCATATATACAAGTCTTTGTAACTGAACTTACACTGTTAGAATTTGAAGATAGGTATATTGGAAAGCGAGAAAGAGAATTCTAGTGCAGAAATAAAAAAACAGACTAAAGTATATGTAACATACATAATATATGCAACAATTTTCAACATATTGATTCTCGAAACTGTTGACTATTTTGATTTTATCTATTAACTATTTTGATTTTATAAAGCAACATCTTGTACAGAAGAGAGAAAGAGAGAGAGATTAAAGTTAATCTATAATACATTGATAAAAATGGACATAAATCAGTCCATTTTTACTAGTACAAATTAATTTTAATCTTGGTTTAATTTTCATTTTTTTCTATTTTTTAGATCTAAAGATAAAAAAGTTATAAAATTAAAATGTCTAAATTATTGATTAACGTAATTATATAATATATTAAATATCACAAAGAATAACTTGTGCTGTGGTTTTATGATCTTTTTGTTAATTTTTGATTTATAAACCACGTTTGTTATAATTATATATTATAAAATTGAGATTAAAATTCTCTACATGTTAGAATAAGCATTGAAGCATGAAACTTAATTAGCAACTAACTTATTAATTAAATTATCTCTGCAATATTTGTAAAAGCTAGAAGTATTATTAATGTTTTGGCGTTGGAAAGAAATTAGATTACGGATAAGGAATCATACAATTAAAAGTTTTGCTGTAAATGATAGCATCGCTTCATTAGATTAATCAATTAAATTAATTGGAATTTGATCGCGAATTTGTTTCTAAAGGATTATTTAATATCATTTGCGGAATCATATAAAATCGATCAATTATTAGCGTTTTTCGACTTGAGCTCTAATCTGATTGGATTATTGACGTAGAGCATGTAACTTCAATCAATACTAGAGCTATTATTGATATTCTTTTAGATCATCCAATCAGACATTTAGATCTAAAAGAATACATTAATAGTAGCAAGCATTCACTCAATTTTCTTCTTCTGGATTGTAATGGCTCACGCCGTAGAACCGAGTGTGAGAGGAAAGTGAGTGATAAATCTAAAATAGCCAGGTGAGTGTGCCATCTGGAGAGAGGGGCTTTAACTCTCCTGCCTCTCTCCAGGTGGCGCACGCATCTGGCTGTTTCAGATTTATCACTCACTTTTCTCTCACACTGGTCGGTTCTATGGCGTGAGCCATTAGGGATTCCGCACAATAAAAGGAACATGGAACAGAGAACAGAGAATACAAGATCAGAAATCATGTATTGTGGAATACATACAGTTTCTGATAGGTTGAAATTCTTATTCTCTGTTCTCTGTTCCTTTTATTGTGCGGAACCCCTTACAATCCAAAAGAAGAAGAAGACAGTTAAGCGCTCACTACTATTGATGTATTCTTAGATCTAAACGTTCCCTCAGCGAATTTTTTTTATGGCTTCAATTGTTTCAAATCGTTTTCCTTTCATGAGTGTTTTGAGTTTTGGGAAAAGGAAAAAGTCAAAAGGGGCCAAATCTGGTGAGTAGAGTAGGTGAGGAAGTATAGTCGTGCTGTTTTTATTAAAACACTCTCGAATTGACAACGCACCAGTTCATTCCGCGTTGTAAATATTAGCACATTTGTAAAAAAAAGAGTGTAATATAACTTTAATGTTAATATTTTTAATGTTTTCACCAATGTAGATTAACTTTAATCTCGGTTCAACTTACTCTTCCTCTTTTTCTAATCTTTGGAACTAGAAAAAGACGAAGAGTAAGTTCAACCGAAATTAAAGTTAATCTACATTGATGGAAATGGGCATAAGCAAAATAAACATCGCACGCATGTAAGATGAATATTTCTGATCCATAATTTGTGAATATAATACGATTATATGAACCAAATATCATCTGCAACCTTGAAAAGTGAATGTATGTACCCTCAAAAAAGTGGACTTTGCTATAGTAGTTTACATCCACTTTGTCAGGAGGCAGGAGTACATGGCAGCATGGGAATAAGTGACTCGATTGATGAGTCAAATTCTCTAGACAAGCCACACGCTTGTCGTATGATGTAATATGAGATGTAATGATCGACACTTTTCTTGTAACTAATAATGATGAATTTTACTCGAGTTCAAATGAATATGACCGTACAGGATGAGCGCCATAATCTATCTACTTCTTATTTTTCTCTGCCGCTGCTTGTAGGCAATTCGCAACCTACAAAGTCCCTAGGCTTTCTACACTCGCACGCTAGTGAGGTATTGAGAACGTAGTTCTCTACAAGCATGTGGCTACGTTGACTGCTGTGCCCAATGTGGCGCCGAGCGTGTCTGGGTGTCGGCGATGGCTAACTAACGGCGAAGGACAATTGGCAGAAAATCGTTAAGTTTGCAAATAAATGTTACTCTGATTGATTCTGACTCATATGCATATATAAGGCGGTTTAATACAAACTCAAATGATTGTTTAGAACGTACAAATTACAAAAGTAGAGACGTGATTGCGTGCGTATGACGGTTCGGATATCGGTATCGCATTATTAGGTTAGAATACGAGAAACTCTAGCATATATCTGACGACGCTAAAGGCTTAAACATAATAGGCACAGGCAACAGAGAATAACGAGTCATCTAATCAGAGCTCTGGGATATAATATCGAATTTACACACCAGACAATTACCTAATGACATGAGCAGTAACCGATATCGATCTCGCAATGAATATAAAAGGGTGATTAATCTTACCAAGCATTAACTTAAAATCTATCGCTGAGGCTTACAAAAAATTCGAATGCAGAACGCCATGACACCAGAAAGAGAGAGAGAAAGAGAGAAAGAGGGGGGGGGGGGAGAACCGGAAAAAAGAACTAACTCAAGCGCTGCAACTAACGCTTGCAACGTCACAAGCATTTTGTGGTTACAGATTTTGAGCCGTCATGTCCTCTCTAGGTTTCTCTCTGATAACTATGGCGTCGAGGAAGGCGATATTCGCACGGGAAGGACACAAATGACGAATCACAGCGATTATCGTATAAACTATCACAACAAGTTTATTTTAGTTCAACGTACAATGGTCTCTGATTAAGATAAGTATATGTTAATATGATACAAGATATCACTTTTCTTTCAGGTACTCGTGGATCAAGCCGCGACACGTACACAAAGAAAAGATAAGTATGTTACTAATGGCGGTTTCCTTCTTCTTGCTTCTCTATTGTTGTAGAGCTTGCGCAGTGCGACTGCCGGTTGCGATTATGCGTCGCTTGTCTGGAATCGAAGCGATGTTGCAATTGACTGAGTTGATTGGATGGTATTAGCAAGTGGCGCGCTTTCGTTTGGATAAGCAGGTGCCACCATAACCCGTACACTACTGCCAGTACATCTATTTTCAATTTGAGAACTACGTGACTATATACATTTTCTGACACTATCGATAAAATCGTATCGTCAAAAATAGATGTGATTCGTCTCTGTAATAAATCCTCAAGACAGAAGAGTGCCGACTATATCCAGAAGAGAGATAGTTTAACAAGTCTTTGAACAAAAAAATTTTAATTTCGCATCTCCTACATATGTAAATAAAAGTTGTTGACTTTCAATAAACGAAATTGAAAATTCAAACAAGTTAATTTACTGAATTTTGTTCTGTAATATCTTATAAAATTACAAAGTGTTCCTTTATATAAATTTTCAGTCCGTTTTTACCAAACATAATTACTTTAGTATAATTCTTTTATTTCAAAATAAGATATGAATAATATCTGTCATTCACATTTTATTCTAAAATAAAAGAGTTATTTAGTTATTCATTATTTTAAATAAAAGTTATTCATT